TCAACGATTCCATTCATTATTGTGCAGTCACCCCCATTCCCGACATGATATATATTCTTTCGATCCACCATTTCTCGGCGATTCTGTTTTCAAAAGATAACGGATGATACCCGTAGATTTTGGCTAAGGCTGCATTCTGTCATTCTCTAGATTCTATGGGAAATCCTTCACGACCAGAGGCCGAGTTTCCAAATCCTTCGTTATATGCAGACCGTGTCCTCAAGATAGGATGTCACGTCACAGAAACGTGCGCACTTGGTGTATGCCCATCTACTATCTCTTCTCCTCACTTCTTCTCGTCATTCCACCAACTATCCACCTCATCTTCCTCCTCCCTTTCTTGTGCACTCGTCTGGTGCTTGCCAACGCGTCTTGCACGTGCAACTCTACGTACCCACGTACGCTTTCACAATCGTACACGCTAGTTTCTCCCTTGGTTTCTGCACATCTATATATAGCACTCGGGGCTCTATTGAAGTAGAGTGGAGATGCCACTGCCGACATCATCTACCACATCATGACATCCATAATATGTCTATTCACTAGACCAACGAATATGCCATATTCTACATTTCTCGCTCACCCCCTCTCGCTCACATCCCTGCACGAACAGAAAATTCTATGAATTTTCATTGTGCCATTCCGATTAAAATTACTGTGTGGCCGTATTATATCGCTGTAAACTGCCGGACTAAGAAAAATTACTATACCGGCCACTCAAATTTCTCCATCGGCCTAGGAAAACTTCTTTATCGGCCAAGTAAAAATTCAACTTCGTTTCAACAGTTACCATTGTTAAGATCAACTTCGGAAAGATTCGGAAACATTTGGTGTTCAGTGTTAATCAATCATATTGCCTTAAAAAATTCTTGCAAAATGTTCTGTAGCACAGTAAAAATTAAAAGGAAGCGCAATAAAAAATACCGGTCTGGATAGGAATTTTTAAGGGATTTCTATCAATTTTTCCTTCAAACTCTGCTGTCTCCTAAATTTTATTGAGGCATATACGTTTAATTACGGAATATACTGGAATATTTATGATATTAATAGCAATTTTTATTTGTGAACCAAAGAAAGTCATAATAATAATTATTATTATGGTATTTTGCACCCCAATTCTAGTGCTCGTGACAATATTTTTCCTTGGACTTTTCTCCGCGTGATAGCTTATGAATTTGAAGTTCTTCAAAAAGCAACTCAACTCCCTCAGCCAATAACACACTGTCAATGAACTTTCCGAGCTATCAAACCAAATCAAACGAAAGTATTGAAGTGATACGCGAAATAAAAAACAAAAATATAAAAAATCCTATTCATCTCTCCGAGAGTCGAGACTTTTTTTTTATCAAAATCATACGTTTTCGTATACACTTGAGAAATCTCACGCTGAGTTTTTCTCCAGTCGGTGGAGAACGTATATGACGTATCGACACCTCTTCTACCCCATCTCCAACATCCTCATGCCTCCACTATGCTCTCTTCGTTCTCACCATTTATCGTGAATAGAAAGGCACAAACTACAACGTCTGCTTCTCTCCACTTGAATTCAACGACACGACGGATACATATTTCACGATGCGCCGGACCGACGATATGCATTTTAGCTGTGCAATACTTTCATCCCTCTGTTACTCGTCTACAACCATGACGCCCCCAGGGCCCTTAGTTCCACCCTTTCCGTATGTATAAACTGACGTCTCCTCTGAGAGTTTCAGTAAAACGTATCGATGATGTAGGCAAGGCTCGGTCAGGATGGGCCCGTGCAAGAGAAAAAGTTCAATAAAAATTACGCGCAACTTCCGTAAATCGCCAGTTAGAATAAAGCTCCATTTTATGGAGCTTTTTTACTGGATGTCCTGTAATTCGTATCTAGACATTTATTCTCACTTGCGAATTATGGAACTTTTTCGCTATTTTTATGGATCTCTTTTTCTGCCTGTGAGAAAAAAATATGGATTCCGCGGAAATAATCACAGGGTAATGAATCATATTGCAATTTTTTTAGGTAAAATGATCCTTTGTTGATAATTTAATACTAATATCATTAATCAACTTCATGGGAATCAAAATATGATGGAAATGTTTTTGTAATTAAAATGACGTTTATTTCATATTAAAAATGTAGGGAATTAATTTGATGTAAATAAATCAGTTTTTTTGGATCGATCAGGCCTCATCGATAGGTCGAGGTTTTTTAGAGTTTTTGATTGACATGTCTTTTTAATTTCCCACGTTCTTTTTCCAGTACAAAACAACTCTGACATTGATAGTTCATGGGGGAACAGGTTGAGTGTACACAGTTTTCATTCACTTTTAACGGCTTTTTTTTCAACGTCAATCCTAGGTATGATCTGTTAGAGTACACGGTTTCCTCACAGATCAATATATACGCGACATTTGTCCACAGTACATAGTAGTACATGAGAGTTTATCCAGAATCGACGAAGAAGAACATAGAAACATTTTTATAACTCGATTATGTAGCCACCGTAGAGTATTATAAAGTGGTATCTTTGAGGCAATTTGAATGAGAGAGAATTCAACGACGGAGTGCCATCACTGTAGCAGGTTGAGAGAGGATATATGAATTCACAGGTTTACGGCGTCCTTAAAGTTGCGGGAAATCTCTTTAACGGCCCTGGCAGAATGCCCATAGCTGCCTTTTCTTCGTATCCTCCTTTCTTCGTTGATTCTGTGGCACGAGGGGGAAAAATGGAGGGTTGAAAGAAAAATCCAGTGAAGAGGGAGGAAAACTGAGAAAGAGACGGGAAAGAGAGGTGCGGGGGTTTTCACAACGAGAAAGACCAATGCACTTGGAGTAGAATGGCGTCTAGTCGGAAGAAATGGAGTTATCCATACGGCTGGACCGAGAGCAAGGGATGGAAAATCAGTGAAAAAGAGAGATGCCGGAATAGTAGCGGTTATCATTCATTTTCTCTTGAGCGGAGTCCGCGTGAAAGCTCTGCTAATGACAGTCGGCCGGAATTACCGCTGAACTTTTCATTCGTTGAAGTCGTGCTGCGGCTTCAAGAAAGGAGTGGCGTTGGGTGAAAGAGAGAAAAGGAAAGAGCAAAACTGTTGAGGAGGATGAAATGATCGAGGAGAAAAAGAGAGGGAGCCAAAGGGTTGAGAATGGAAGTGGGTAAAGACAAAATGTAGAACTCGGGGGGAGGGGGGGGGGGGGGGGGAAGAGGAGTTGTGGCCTGAAGATTATCTCCAACCCGTCAAGTACTTTACGTTCCTATTTTTTCCGGCCGCTTTCACGTTTTCCAGCCATCGCCATCTCGACCACACGGCCCGTACCTCATCCACCATTCCTCCCGATAATCTTTCCTTCTCCTCACCACCCATCCACCCCTTTTCCATTCCACTTGGAATCACTTGAGGAAATAGTTTATCCCCTGGTCGTTATCTACCAAGTTTTTCCCCCTGGCGTATGTGACCGCAGTTTCATCCTTTCGGCTTCAATATTTTTGGATATAATTTTTTTTTATTATCTACTTGAATTCTCGCAACAATTTTTCGTATGTGAAAGCTAACACTCGAGGAAACGATAAAGTCTTTCTCAAGTATGAATAAAGGCCAAAGCGCAGTGGAAAATAGAAGTTGAGTATTGGTGTGAGGGTTAAGAGTTGTGGAAAATTTTCTTGGGTGAAAATACGAAACACAGAGGCCCGTGCAATTTTCCCCTGAAATGGATTTTTCACACGAGATGGGATAGAGAGAAGAAATCGTTGGGAATTGTAGGTGCTCGACTGAAAAATCGTGATGCGAAATGGAAAAAAAGTGGGGAATAGAAATGGCGGAAATGGAAGTGCCCACAGGTGCACAAATTTCTCCCCCTCCGCCCTTTCCACTATTTTTCTCTTTATAACCCTTTTGAATTCAGCCACCACCTCATCTCCACTCCTCCCCCTAGGATTTTTTTTTGTTCCATGGTGAAAGTCGGAGCACTCGAACCACCGAGTGCTAGGTGGAAAGCATTTTGTTTTCGTCCACTATAGAAATGATGCACCCTCGAGGCTCGCATTCAAATTAGATGAGCTTTAATTATTAATCGAGTACTCCAGTGGCTTTCATGAAATTTCTATTAATCATGATTAGAAACATTCAGGTTTGCCTCAGGCACTGCAAGAACATACATAAGTCCGCAATTTTCAGCGATAAAACTACCGGAGAGTTATAATAATACCGTTGGCACCCACCAGTCCACGGGGGAAAACTTTTAACCGTGAATAATGGAAATGGCGACACTCTCCAGCGGCCATTATTTCACCAAGCCAAGAATGGAAAATCCAGAAGATTGTCGGCTTTTTCCCTTAAAATATGATTAAAAAAATGTTAAAGTTGCCCTCGCTAAGAAAAAACTCAAACTCCAGTTAATCCCTTTGATAGCCAAGGATTTTGTTCGTACCCAACCATTTTTCTTATAGACAAACTTTGATTGGCAATTTGTCAGAGACGAGTGAAAGTAATTATGATAGTGTTTGAAAAAAGCTTGAGCGCTAAAGAACTCTACCCTCTCCATCTCCTCTCCTTACCCGTAAATTCATCGAAAATTTCTATCTTGAAATACTCTAATTTCCCCGATGCTGGATTTTATTGTGTATAAGGGGCAAAAACTCTAGATGATTACCCAGACGGCAATTCGATCATGAAGCTACTTACAAGACTCGTAATAGCCATTTTTCATTAACGCTGAGTGGGCCCCTTTGGACAGGCGGTGGAACGTGAAACGTTGGTGGTAATAACGTAATCTCGTTTGGGGGGAACACGAGGTGAAGAGAGTAAAAACGCTGGGAGGTAAAGTTAGGGAGAAGTGGAACTGTAGCTAGAGGCTGATAAAGGGGGTGGTATAGGGAGGTACAAGGGGGAATGAAAGAACGTCACTGTACTGCTCACAGACAACTTAATGCTCACGCTTGTAGCACAAAAGGATCGGCTATTCAATTAACATTGATGATGAAAAGGATGAGTTAGATGATATTCTCTCATTTCAGACCTGCTACGAGATGGAGAGGTACCTGAAAGACGAACCTAAGCTGCAATCGTACAAAAAATTACCCACCGAGCTGGACACAGCGCCGTGGAATTTATTCAGAGCGCCAACAAGATCGTGGACTGCCACCACTTGCTCTACTACCACACAGTATCAACCTCAAATTAAGATGGAAGTGAGTATCAAATATTAATTGTCACTAGGTGCTAATCAATTATTGTACCTCCTCCAAATGTTTTTCCTCAAGACTGAGGTAAATTTTCATTTTTTTTGTACTTATCTCGTAGGAAATGATTCATATTGTGTCGGAACTCAGTTTCTTTAGCCCCGAGTAATTAAACCAAACGATTGAGAAGTGTAAAAAAATACTATAATTAAACACCGAACTTCCTAACAAAAATTTAGTATATTTGGTCTTAATTGTTTATAAACACTGCACTGATTTACAAAAAGGTTGTCTAGGATTCGAGAAAGATAATAACTAGATATGTATTTGCTGATTTCTAGTTTAAGAGACCTTAGGTACTGCCCCAATTCAGAAAAAGTCACAGTAATGTACGTCGGAAATTTATCTGGTATCGAAATATTTTTGGGACTAGCGTGCCAAGGGGAAAATTCCAAGTAAGAGACATGAGTAGTTCTGTGGAATATCGGGAAAAGAAAGAGGATAAAATTTATAGTGGGGAACTACGCGGATGATGGAATTTCCCTTGGTAGTAGTTTAAACAAATAAATGTACAGCCAGAAATTGCATTTCATAAATACAATCATGAAATAATTCCTCGACGAAACATGAAATTAGTGATTTTTTATGCTTGGGTAGATGTACGGAATTGTTTCAGTCTCGCAGAAAAATTCTTTGGAGGAGTTGTATACTCATTACGAATGATTTTTTTGGTGAAAATAATGTTCTGTAACGAGGGGTAATAAATTGTTCAATGAATTTCTTCCAGGTCAAGAGGAAAATGTCATTTCAGGTGACAACGTCCCACGATGACAGGGATCCTGTGTGTCTTGATGAAATGAAATATAGTCCTGGTGATCACAATCACAACGGGCGGGATAGGGATTTACTAGATCGCCACCTTGACTCACTATCAATGTCTTCAGCTAGCTCGGCGTGTTCTGCATTATCGTGGGACAGTTCGCCGACCCTCTCCTACAGAGCGCTCATCCTCAAGAAGGAATCGAGTGAAGATCTGGAGGAGGACGAGGAGCATGAAGTAAGGATTATAAATATTAATTTATATATAAAAAATTTCTCATTGCAACGTCAAGACTATTTTACAATATTCTGCTTTTTCCTCATTTTTTTAACATTCCCTTTCTGTGAGTTAATTTCAATAGAATTAGTGTTAAAGATGTTTTGGATTTCTACTGTTTCCAATCATTTTTGCTGACTTGCAGCGCAAAATTGATTTCCTAGTAACAAAGTTCTGATAAATTTGATGAATATTAACCGGTTTAAACTACAAGTTTTTTAACTTCAAATAGCAAATGGAATTTGCAAATCGTACTTTAGATTTTACTTTTAACACAAACAATCCGAGATTGTTCTTGGCATTTGCCATTTCCCCAAATAACCAAACCATCATTGAATGGTAAAACAAATAATTGGAAATGTGACCTAGATCCTGAGAATTCCTTGCAATTTCCAATAACCTTTAAAATCAAGCTGTGGCCATACAACTTTAATCGTTCCATTTATTTTCAAACAAATTTTGATTTCAATACTGTCGATAAAGCCAAATGAATTCAATCCAATATCTAAAATCGATACGTCATTTTTGTCCCCTAGGAAATTGAAGAGGAAGAGGACAGTGGATGCGAGGGAGAAGGACAAATTCTAACACCACCATCAAGTCCAGAATCGGGTCAGGGCCACTCAAATTCCAGTCACTCGTCGAGCGGTAGCTCGATGCTCGATGTACACAATCTAAATCTCCACGGTACTGGTGGCAGAAGTGCAATTGTCAGGGTCACAGCCAGTAATGGTCAGGGAGTTGCCAGGTAAGCAAAGTTCGAGTAGTTGGAATAGATACTCTCAAAATCACTGTTAGGAGAATCCAAATTAATGTGATTGATTTGTGGTCATTTATCACGAGCATTTTTGCTTTTCAGCTTTTGATCAAATTGAGATTCATTAGACTCCACGCCAAATCGTATTTACATTTATTTAAATATGACTGGCCATCAAATCATAACTCATAAGCGAACAAATCATTCAATCAATCCACTAATTTTTCATATCAGTTAACGATTAACAGTAACTATTACCGAATGGTACATGTGTCTGAACTCTTTATCGCTCATCTCAATCGTTCAGTAACTATTAACGAGTGTCTGATTCGTCGAATTTAAGAACGCCATTCAGTAACAGTTACAGGAGCTCATTAAAATAAATGGAATTCTTCTATCAGCGCACTGAAACTGTTTTGAATAAAAAAACAATTCTCCCATTGAACCAAACAGATTAATCTCGGTAACGGCAAACGGTTTTCCCAACGTCACAAGTACGCAACACACTACGACGACAGTGGCAACAGCGGTTGCGAATAGGCATCACGCAAGGAGTCACGAACACAGTCCACAGGACACAAAACGCAGGATACACAAGTGTACGTTCCCAGGGTGCAAAAAAGTCTACACTAAGAGTTCACATTTAAAGGCGCATCAAAGGACGCACACAGGTGAGTTGAATTTCCTTCCTGTCAATACTTTACAACTGATGCAAATAAATAAAATATACACTCCCTCGGAAACTAGTCAGACTGGTGAATTCTGACTTCGAACAACATTTATGATTCAAGACCTGAAAAAAAACAAGTTAATAATTGCATTTTACATTGTATATACGAGCACAGACGCTATCTGGAAAACTCATAATCCCAAGATTTATTTCAGATTTAGTTGCGATAACTAAAAAAATTAGAGACTCAGTTTTGAATAGATTAAAATATTCTAGTTGAATAGAATGGGGTAGTTTGTGTCTTGAAATAGATGGATTAACCTGAGGGGTCATTCATGTTCGTAATCGTTGCGTCAGTTGCTGCTGTAATCATATTATAATCCCCTTGAAGTCACGATAATCACGTGATTACCATACTTGAAGTGGAATATCCACAAAAAAACTACTGATGATTAATAACAATAATCATCATTCAATCAGGAATTATTCTTGTGACCGCTAATTATAACAAACGACAATTACGACTAGAATGTGCAAAAATCAAATGATCGTTTAGTACTATGAATTGGCATTTTCCTGAGAAATTTATTCACGATTGATTGATTTATTCACAAATCATGGGTCCAATCGATGACTTTTTAATCATAATCGTAATTGTATTTAGTTACTAAATTCGGGTGTGAAAGAGTCCTCCGAGAGTTCCAAGTAACATTTATATGAGATCGCAGACGCCACCGGTTATCTAGAAAATAAAGATAGATGAATGCGTACAATACACACATGACAGTGATATAATTCCTGAATTAATCAAGCCTCCGCTGACTGTAAACATGACGACAATTATGCCGGATAATTGGGTCGAAACGAGACTATTTCCTAGACATATTCAACCCCCCAGTATATTCCGTCTTTCCTCGCTTTCAGCTCCCCTTCATCATCATTTTGACGGTGTATTCTGGTACCATTATCTTTCGCCTTCTCTGTTCTACGATGCTAAAGCTAGATCCTTCCAAGGCTCGGGATCCCTCTTTGTCTTGTTTCGCGACCCCCCTTTATGCTGTGTCGCGCCTCTTAGGGAAACCCCTAGGAACACGAGGTGTGAGAGTATAACACCATTCGGACGTGCCATCACAGCACCCTTATGGTGGAAATAACAATGCATAATTAATCACCATGTTGAATTGCGGGTGGTACCACCGAGAATATATTTAGTACATGTTGTGCTACATGGTGATTCCGTTTAGGTTTCCATCATCATAATTTAGCGAAAAGCAACGCTAATTAACTGCATATCGATTATTACCATATTTTACACGAAGCTTTCTCGACGATTGATGAAGCAGTCTCTATATACTGGAAATGGAAGTGTTAAATTAATTTCAACACAGTTCTTTTTCTCTGATCACTCATCTTTATTCAAACGCACGAGAAAGAAAAATGAATGCTCTCTATAAATATCTCCATGAGATTAAAGAGTAGCCACAAAGACTAAAGAATTAGCGGAAAGCAACCCTTTAATTGTTTCCTTGTAAAATCATTGTTTATTTTTATGTAAACTCTGAGGCGAATCCATGAAGCCGTCCACGTTGTTTAATTTTTTGTAACCATCAGAAATCAGTTCAATATATAACTATGAAGTTAACTTGATATTCTATCACAAAATTTTTCTCTGTTAATTAAATTCGAATTTAAAAAATCCACTTACCGTCGAAACATCCATTACCGTTGTTTACTGATAATCAGATTAACACGAAAAATGCATTCCATCGTCGACAGAAAGGGGTGATACAGTGTATAAAATTCTGAAAGTTAATCCTCCGGGTTTTTCCCTCCTCTCAAATGAGTGCGCACTCGTCGATCGGATTTCAAAAGCCTATGAGCTCTGGAATGAACCGGTACCCCAGAAAGACACAAAAGCAGAAGACAACTATTTCAACAGTTGCGTCGTCATGAAAAGCCGTCGGTCTTTTCACTTTTACGGGAGTATATGAATAGCGGTTGACGCACGTGGGTATCCGTTGATGAAGGACCTCAGTAGTCCTGCAATACGATATTACAGCTTGGAATCCTCTGCCTTGTGGAATACGAAGACTGCAGCAGGGTAGACACGGTGTCAGGGTCCTAGTAGTTGCGGTGGATGGTAGCGGCAGGGTTGTAATTAACGTACTTTACCCTCTACTTACCCCCCGTTCTTCGACTCGTACCCTCAGTTCGGTCTTTGCTCTCTTTGTCCAGGGTTTTTGTCGCGCCCTAGCTCCAGCCGCAGTACCTAGAACAAACTCACCCTCTACCGTTGTCATTCGCCTCCTTCTCATTCTCCTCTCACTCCTACTTGTGTCACATCAAGGACAAGTAATAAGGGACAACGGAAAGTAGGAAGAAGGTAAGGGACAGCGGTGGTGCGGATGGCTGTTCCGACTCGGATTGCTTCTAGCGTTAGACGGGGATCGTTAAGCAGAACTGCTAACTACGCCCGGGGATTATGCATACGGCGCTCGTCCTGGCGATTATTACTCTGTTATGAATTCTACCGTGATGACTATGTGGATGAAGGTAGGAGAGAGGATTAGGGTAGATGCGTAAGAGTATCCTCTGCATCACTACTGCGTTCTGGATTATATTCCGTATCATACTTATTAATGGCGCCGTTGGGCGTTTAATATGCCGCATTAATTAATTCGCCATGTAATCGAATTGGCTTCGATGCTCAGACTCGCCGTTATCTCCGCATAAAATGATGTACGTGTTTATGACCTTGGTATAGTCAAGATTTAATACCTCGCGGATAAACCGATGGAGGGGAAAAAATGATATAGACCTAAAAAAATACAACGAGGGCTTGGACTAATTTCAAACGATCGTGTTATTGGAGTATTATCCGCGTACGCGACAGGCGTGTGTGGAAGGGAGTGAGAAAGAATCAGGGGATTCCCCGTTGGGAGTAGCGGCCACCAGGAGGGGTACCAAGACAACTAGGGACCATCGGGCAGAAGAGACAGAGAGAATGGAGGAAGCGAACCGAGGCTATCGATCCAAAACACAGGATACGAGTCGAGGCGCAGTGTGTGGTAGTCCCACGACGGCATTGGTAGAGAGATTTCCAATTACAGGGACTTTTCGTTCTGGAATTCCATTCCCCGAGTCCATTGTTCTCGCTTACTGCCAGGACTTTGATCCGTTCGAAAGCTCATCGCACTAGACACAGGGAAAATTGAGTACGTAGTGGCTGAAAGTATGAAGGGGGATGATGGGAGAGGGGGAGAGGATGGGGGAGGG